CCCCCCCCCCAAATCACCATTAAGTTTTAAGAAGCCATAACATGCTACAGTCCCTTTTACCAATTGGTCAATTGCACCACATGGCCCTAGTATTACTTGGTTATTACTCTCTGTGGATTGTACCCTTAAGAGACATTTATTGTGAGCTGGGAAAGTAGCTCAGTGGTAGAGTGCTTGCCTTGCATGCATGAGGCCCTGGGTTCAATTACTCAGCACCACATAAGCAAAAAAGGCCGGAAGTGGTGCTAGCCTTGAGCTGAAGAGCTCAGGGACAGCACCCAGGCCCAGAATTCAGACCCTACGACCAACAAAAACAACAAACAAAACAAAACAAAAAAGAAACATTTATTAAGTGGTTCATGATGTATAGATCAGGAACCATTTTGCCAGGTAGTTACAACACTTGGCAAAGAAGCAGAACCTCTTACTGTCAAAACAAATTCACTTCTGTCTCTGTTCTCTACAGATAAGAAATTATAGTGCTCATAACAGTCTCTAAAACATAGCTGTTTAACTTGCTGAAATAGTTGATTAGCAGAGAACCATACACTATAATTACATGTTTAATTCTGCTTAATGATGAAAGCAGAGGATTTACCTTGTAATAGACTTCAGCGTGTTGCATTGCTCTCATGGCCCAGGCCATCTCAATATCTGGCTGCAAAGGGTTAAAGAATGCTAGGTCAGAAATATCCCTATCCTGTTATTGGACAACAAATCAAGGATCTTGGTCGAGGTCTACTTAATGCTTAAGAGAGCTACTAAAAATGATAATGTCAGGCACTGTTGGTTCACTCCTGTAATCCTAGCTACCCAGGAGGCTGAGATTGGCGGATGGAGGTTCGAAGCCAGTCCAGGCAGCAAAGTCATCAGCAAAGGCTGGAAGTAAAGGCACAGCTCAAGGTAGTTGCTAGCTCTACTTCTTCAGGTCTCCCATGTATAGTAGTGTGTTGGGGTGCCAGATAGCCTACTCATGAGATTGGAGCAGTTCATTAACTGCTAGTTAATTCTTCATTCCTTGGTGACCAGCAGAAAAGCCTGAGGGCCAGCCTTGAGCAAAAAGAATTAAGGAAGAATGCTTTGGCCCTCAGTTCAAACCCAACACAGGAGTGCATAAGAGTGCTTGTGTACTTACGTGTATACATACATGTATACATATGTACATATATACACACACACACTCACACACACACAAATAGGCTAATGGGTTTGGATAATGCAAATCTTCTGTTCTATGACAAAAGAAACCACCTACCCAAAATAGTAAAATCAGTAAAGGTATGTGCTGGAGGTTCATGTCAGTAATCCTAGCTACTCAGAGGCTGAGATTTGAAGATTACAGTTTGAAGCATCTGGGCAGGAAAATCTGTGAAACTCCTTGCCAATTAACCACCCCAAAATTTGAAGTGGAATTGTGGCTCCAAGTGGTAGAGTGCTAGCCTTGAGAAAAAAAAGCTTAGGGACAGCGCTCAGACCTTAGTTCAAGCCCTACACTGGCCAAAAGAACAATCACCACCACCAGAACCAGTGGGCCAGGCACTGGTGGCTCATTCTTGTAATCCTAGGTACTCAGGAGGCTGAGATCTGAGAATCACAGTTTGAAGCCAGCCTGGGCAGTAAAGTCCATGAGACTCTTGCCTCCAACAAACTACTCAGGAAAAGCCAGAACTGATGCTATGGCTCAAGTGGTAGAGTGCTAGCCTTGAGCAAAAGAGGCAAGGACAGAACTTAGGCCCTGAGTTCAAGGTCCAGGACTGACAAAAAAAAAGGTTGAAGTGGGGTGGTGGCTCAAGAAGTAGAGTGCCAGCCTTGAGCAGGAAAGCCAAAGGAGGGCTAGAGGTTTTGAGTTCAAGCCCCACTATTCCCTGGCTATCTTTCCCAGCAGCTAGTGAAAAATGTAAAGGATTACATGAACCAGTGGATAAATCAGCTTTTCAGAAACGAATTAAACTACTCTAAAGGTTAATCCGTACCATAAAACAGGTCAAATTATGTCTTACCAAGCTTCGGGAAGTGTTCCACCTGAAAGACTCCTTCCAGCCAACTGATATAAAAGCAAAAAGCCAGTTGCATCCAGTAGCATTTGTATGTCTCAGAGACCACGAGATTTTCCTACCTGCCAATCACTGAGGACTCACTTCAAGCTCCACCTCCTTTATGAAGCCTTCTGGAGCCCTCCTTAGAAGTCTTTCCCAGGGCTAAATTCTTTAGATCCTATGGCCTGACCCACTCATCCAGTATACTTTACATACTTACTTGGCTGCTATTATTTTCTAATCGTATTTTTGTTCTTCAAAATGACATCATGAATTCCGCCTCACCCCCCCCCCCCCACAATGATAGAACACAAGCAATACAATGTAACTTTGTTGCACAATGAAATCCCTTGGGGGAATCTTTCAAAAACACGGGTTCATGGATCTTACGCTGCAGACATTCTGATTAGAATTTAGACAAAGGGAGGTTGAAAAAAAAACATGCAAAGTTAGGAAACCATTTTTACAAGGTATTAGTCTGGCGTTTGTAAACGAAGATCGGAATGAACTGAAAGAAGGTGCGACTGTTCGAGGGCATGGAGAGGATTTTCAGAAGATACCAAAAAGGGGTTCATAAATTTAAGGTGGTGGGCTTTGCAGAAATCCGGGTTAGAAGGGTGGGAGCTGTGGACGACTCATACTCACATCATTGCCATAAGACTCTGCAGGGAGAGAAAGAGCATGTGCTACAGACACCAGCTCCCCGGAAACCTGAGGGGGGAAATCAAGGGAGAAAGGGGACCGTTTAATTTTCGACATGGCTCAACTCATCTCGATTAGTGTTCTCTCTTAGTCACAGGGCAGCATCTTACCGGTTCATTCAGCTTACTGACAGCCTCCATGTTGCAGCGTGGAAGGCGTGCCTTCCCCTAACGGAAGTGATTTTTTTTGTTGTTGTTGTTGCGGACGTCTAGCTCGGTTGTTGGGAAACGCAAAGGTGCCAGAGCACCGGCATGCTCGTCGCTCTGCGTTTGCGCACATCCTTCTGACGCCGGAGGTAGTTGCTGTCTCCGCCTCCTCTGGCTCGCGCAGGCGTAGTACGGTGTGGCGCTGGCTGGCCTACTTGTGAGATCCGAGGTACTGAACTGAACGGTTTATTCGCTGATGATCAGAAGAAAAGCCTGAGGTAAAAGAACGCTGTTTTTATGTCCCCGGTGCTCAGTGTGCCCATCAAAAATTCCTGCATGCTTGCACACACCCACAGTCAGGATAAACGGAGAGGAAATCACAGCCCCGTTTGCTGCTGTGGGGGGTTGGAACGCTGGGACGAAGCATTTGGTCCTCGTTTTGAAAGAACTAGATAAAGGGAGGGAACAGATTACAAAGTCTTTGGGAGCATAAATGCGCGGGTGAGGGGTGAGGGTAGGGAGGGGAAACATCTGAGCTGAGCATGGAAGACATTTAGCTCTACAGGTAAGGAAAAGCACACCAAGTGGAGTATAGTTTGTAGCAAGAGTGCAGTCAAGACCTGTTTGGTGAACATTAAATAGTTGAGAATTTAAGAAGGCCCTAGGTAGCCCACCTTCATGAGCATGCTTAATTTTTTAATTAAATTTTTTTTTTTGATTTGTGCAGGTCCTGGGGCTTGAACTTAGGGCCTGGGCACTGTCCCTGACCTCTTCAGCTCAAGGTGAGCACACTACCACTTGAGCCACAGCGCCACTTCTGCTTTTCTGGTGGTTAATTAGAGATAAGCATCTCATAGACTTGCCTGCGTGGGCTGGCTTTTACCTCAATCCTTAGATCTCAGCCTCCTCAGTAGCTAGGATTACAGGTGTGAGCCATTGGCACCCAACTTTAAACGTGTGTGTGTGTGTGTGTGTGTGTGTGTGTGTGCGCGTGTGCGTGTGCGTGTGTGTGCGCGCGCGTGTGTGTGTGTGCGCGCGCGCGTGCGCGCTACTGGGTCTTGATCTAAGGGGCTCCATACATTGGTAGTTGGCACTGTATCACTTAAGCTACAACTTTAGTCCAGTATTTTGGTGATTAATTGGAGGAAACACATGGTCTTTTCTGACTTCAAACTCAATCCTCCAATCTCAGCTTCCCGACTAGCTAGTATTACAGATGTGAGCCTTTGGCACCAAGCATATCTTTTTTTTGGTTGGTTGTGAGGCATGATCTCAGGGCCTGGGCACTGCTCCTGGGCTCTTTTCCTCAAGGCTAGCGCTCTGCCACTTTGAGCCACAGCCCCACTTCCATTTGTTGTTGTTGTTGTTGTTTTTCTCATGGGAACTTTTCAGCCTGCGCTGGCTTTGAACCAAGATCCTCATATCTCAGCCTCTTGACTGGCTAGGATTACAGGCGTGAGCCACCAGCACCTGGCTAGCCCCGCATATCTTAACTATTTTTGTGTATATCTGTGTGTGTGTTGGACCTTGGGCTTGAACTCAGGGCCTAGGCACTGTCTCTGAGCTTCTTTTGCTCAAGGCTAACATTCTACCATTTGAGTCACAGCTCTACATCTGGCTTTTTTGGTAGTTTATTCAGATGAGAGTCCCACAGATTTTCCTGTCTGGGTTGGCTTTGAATGGCAATCCTCAGATCTCAGCCTCCTGAGTAGGTAGAATTAAAGGTGTGAGCCATCATGCCTGACATATCTCAACCATTTTAAAGTAATATCATATAATTCATGTGGTTGTGTTTCATATTTCAAAGCTGAAACCCCAGAATTATTAAAGTAGCAACTCATTTTCCTCCCTCCCAAACACTTAGCAACCATCATTTTATTGTTTTATCAATTTTTATGTTAGATACTGCATATAAGTGGTTTTAAATCTTTTTGTTATTGGTTTATTTCTCTTAGGATATATCTCTGAGAGGATTTTTTTTTTTCTGTGCCAGACTTGGGGCTTGAACCCAGGCACTGTCCTCAAGTTTCTTTGCTTAAGGCTAGCATCCTACCACTTGACCTAGAGCTCCAATTTTGGCTTTTTTGGTGGTCAGTTGGAGATAGGAGTCTCATGAACTTTCCTGCATGGGCTGGCTCTGAACTACAGTACTCAGATCTCAGCTTTCTGAGTAGCTAGGACTATAGGCATGAGCCACCAGTGCCCAGCAGCAGGATTTTCTTCTCCATAAAGTAATATTCTAGCTGGGTGTTGGTGGCTCATGAATGTAATCCTATCTACTTAGGATGGTGAGATCTGAGGATGGCTGTTCAAAGCCAGCCTGGGAAGGAAAATCTGTGAGACTCTTAACTCTAATTAACCACTAGAAAACCAGAGGTGAAACTGTGGTGCAAGTAGTAGAGCACTAGTCTTGAGCAAAAGAGCTCAGGGACAGCACCTAGGCTGTCCCTCCCTTCCTCCCCTGCAATAAAAATAGTATTTTTATTGTATATAAATACTACAACTTTTTTGATCTATCTATCCATTCATAAACACCTGGTTGCTCTCACCTCTTGGTGGTCATGAATATGGTATTATGAACATGGATATGTAAATACCACATAAGATCCCACTTTCCCTGGGCACTTACCCCTGGAATCCTAACTACTTAGGAGGCAGATCTGAGGATTCCAGTTTGAAGCCAGCCTAGGCAGATAAATGTGAAGGACTCATCCAATTAACCATTGAAAAGCTGGAAGTAGAGGTAATGGCTCAAGTGGAGTGCCAGCCAGCTAAGAACATGAGGCCCTGAGTTCAAGCCCAAGTATCAGCATACACACACTGACCTTTCAGTTATTTTAGATATATACCCGTAAGTGTGATTGCTGGGTTATATGTTTAATCATATAGTTAACTAATCATTTTTAATTTTTTTTTGTTGGTTGTAAGCATTATGCTCACCTTTGGTCCTCAGCTCCACCCAGACCTGACCCCTCCCTGCCCTGGAGTTCCTACCATACAGCCAGCCCCTCCCTCTCTCTGCCCAGACCCACCTGAACTCCCATCTACCTCACTTCCTACCCCTAGACCCTGCTGCTACCTAGATAGTGGAGGCTGCCATGTGCTCTCTTTACAGAAGAAATATGGCTTCTCTAATAAACCTTGTAATAATCTTTCTCCTGTAACTGCCTGCTTCCTCATGGTCCCCTGGCATGGATGTGACAGATCCTTTCATTGGTCTTGAGGATTGAACTCAGATCCTGGGCACTGTCCCTGAAGCACTGTTTGAACTACAGGGCCACTTCCAGTTTTCTTGTGGTTAATTGGAGATAAGAATCTCACAGACTTTCCTGCCTGGGCAGACATCAGACTCCTGAGTAGCTAGGATTACAGTGTCCAGCTGGAGTCTTGGAGACTTATAAAATCTTGATTTTAAGTTTAGAGAGACTTATATATAATAAGGGATTGTCCTTAAATAAGAGACTGTCCTGGAGTTTGCTAGGTGTGTCTCAAAAGACATGAGTGAAGACAGGCAGCAAAGGTAGGATATTGAGCTGTTGTTTCCAGATGCTTTTTGTTTTATGTATAAAGTGTAAGAGGACAGCTGAGACTGAGAAGAGATGTGTTAAAACAACTGAAAACAAAAGGAAAGAAATGTACATATCACCCTATGTGGAAGAAATAACTTTATTGTCAAAGCTCATAGAATTTGGGGCTGGGAAGGTGGCTCAGTGGTAGAGCGCTTGCCTTGCATGCCTGAGGCCCTGGGTTCGATTCCTCAGCACCACATAAGCAAAATGAAAAAAGTCGGAAGTGGTGCTGTGGCTCAAGTGGTAGAGCGCTAGCCTTGAGCTGAAGAGCTGAGGGACAGCGCCCAGGCCTATAATTCAGGCCCCATAACTGACAAAAACGAAACAAAATATAACCAAAAAAAGCTCATAGAATTCATAAACTTTATAGACCATGATATAGACTATTTGCCTCATGAAGGTTAGAATGTGTTTGTGACTTTAACTAGTATCACTCCCACAATACTGTGAAATTTGTGAAATTTATGTAACCACTTAATCACAATAAAAAATTGCTATATAAAAAAGTCTTGCCTTGAGCAGAATGTCCTTAGAAGTCGTGAATAACAGTTCAGAAGAACCTAAGGACCAATTCAACAAGAAGAAGGAGAGAAAATTTCAAGGAACATCTATAGCTGAAGAACGTGATTTTTGTCTGTATTGTTTTTCTTTTATTTTGGTGGTTTTGTTTTGTGCCCATACTGGGGCTTGAACTCAGGTCATGTGCTTTGCTTGAACCACAGCTCTACTTTTTTTTTTCAGGTAAGGGGTAGGTTTATTCATCGTTCCGGCTGGCACCAGGCCATCTTGGTCCTCCACGCGGTGGGGAAAGGCCTGGGAAAGAGAAGAGAAGGAAAGAGCTAAGAAAGAGCTAGAAGAGAGCAGAGAGAGAGTGCCTGGGCCTGGGCTAGGCCTTATCTAGGGTATGGGCGGAGAAAGGTGTGGCCACATCAAATTCAGATGTGACTTCAGCAGATGCAGATGTGACCTCTTCCAGGTGTCCCAGTTGCCTAGGTAACGCAGGTACTGGGTGAAGACTTTGCTGCAAGCAGGGTGGAGTCTGCTAGCCATCTAGGAGCGGACCTTACATTCCAGCCTTTTATAATCATGAAAAGGGCTTGGATTCTCTCTGGTTACTTCCTGCTGACCAGGGGCGTTGACAACGGGGGTAAAAGGCTGGAATTTGGTCCCCTCCCAGAGAAGGCAGTGAACAGTAGGTGTGGTGTGAGTCCTTAGATGAAGTCTGGAAAGTCTCATGAGCTTTGAGGGGCTGGGAAAAAAAATACTAGAGAGCAAATAAATGGCAAGAGGAAGGACTTGGGGCTGAAAATGTTGGTAGAAATGTCCCTAGCTACTTCTGACATCTGGCGACTAGGTAGAGAAGTCAGGTAACAAAGGCAAGAATATAAATTCCTGTTCAGTTAATAGGTAGACAGGTATAGACATTGGATGGGCAGGCTTCTTACTTCTACTGACCTCCCGGCTCTGGTTAATTTTGAAAGGGCAGACACAAAGTAGCTGATGTAACATCATCTCCTCTTACTCCTCTCCATGTACCCT